GGTTATCAGACCACAGCAAGCCGAAGCTATATGCAAGTATATGCAGCTTATGATGGTGGAATTCACAGCCTTAACTCTATAGTCTCATACATTCGGTCAATCCATGCTTAACGAGGACATGATACAGTGGACAACGTCAAAATCAAACCGAATGCTTGAGGAAACACAGAGAAAGTAGAAGCACAAACAGCAGTAGAAGTACTAAATTGAAATTGAAACGGATAGAAATCTTACTCTTGCATTTACGTTCAATTATATGAAACAAAAAAGGGTCAGTCCTCTGCGTCGAGCTTCGTTTTGATTAATGCCATCAATGAGCTTAGCAGAATAAGGTGCTATAAAAGAAACAAATTGAAGATAAATGTTAAAACTTCCGTGGTCGTAATTCCATGCCAGAACTATCCATAAGATAGAGAAGTCAACTATTTTTCTGGCAGTAACGTCTTACCTAGCAAACTTGCTTTACATTTTTCCATATCTTCGAAGTCTACTTCACGAGCTCCTCCATTGCCATCAACAAACATACAAGAACTGTACAGCAGATATTTCCTTTCCGATGAAGTTTGCATTTCATGTGTCTCTTTTTGTTTTCCTTTTCTCTCAAACTAAACTTCTTTCTAATCATTTATATTCTAAATCTATCAACCGAAGAAATTACAGTATTTAAATACAATTACTCGACCAAAATCAATTCGAACAGGAGACTAATGTAATATTGAAGGTTCAGTGCATAACAGAGGGATCCCTATTGGATCCTCATTCAGAAAGCATTTCAACCGAACATTTTACTTGATCAGCAAAAAGATCATGTAATATAATGTCCCGAATAAAAACCATCATTTTTAAGGAAATGCCAAGCTACAAACAACTTCATTTTTGAACCTTTTTTTCATGATATGGTATAATATCACCCTTTCCTGATTCGGCAAAGAAGCCAAACCAAGCACCATTGCTACTATGGTTCATGTGATGACAATTTTCTACATTTACAGTACGATAAATCAACAATATCAGTGGAAGTTTATACCTCAGATTGAACTTATAAATCACAAATTTTTCACCCCCGTCAATCAGTTCCTTGAGGTTCTCGCTTCGAGATGTGGAAAAGTGGTTAGAAGAACTTAATACACCAGAAACTGTATAACTAAATTCTTTAACTGCTTTCTCCTCCGCGAGCATGACTTCGTTATGGAATTCTGCAACGGATTGAGCCTATAACATGAAAAAATTAATAATGTTTACAACCATTCAAAATATAAATTCAATCTAGATTACCAATATTATACTTCCAAATAAATGTTTCATTTTGCGAGTATATAAAAGTAGCTTAACAAATCTAATACTCAGGAGAAGATAGTCCTCATATTGTTAAAAAATCAAGTGACTGGTGGTATACTAATTGTTCAACAAATACGAATCCCCCAAAGAATTTATACTCCGATCATTACTAAATGATGTATAATCTCCGTTTTTTGTAAATATTTGGTTTAAGCTATGCCAGAAAGTCTTATCTTGGTTGCTTTGATACTATATGCCCAGGAACATTTGGAAAGTTAGCATAAAGAGCGTTCTAGTTACTTGAACCGGAAGAAGTATTTGACCAGCATACGCTGTCTCTCGAGTCTTGACATACAATGAATACTTAACATGAAGGTTTCTGCAAACAATGGTTAATCCAATTTTTCCCTCTAAAAGTATACAAGCATACACAATTGCATTACCAAGGGTGTGTTTAGTTGCAGTAGCATAATCCTGGGCATATACTCATAGCTGTATGAAATTCCTATGATCAAGTCAGTTTTTCAAATAGAATTACCTTTTTATCTGTAAGAGGCACAACATCCCCGGTTAGAGCGACCCGAACTGGAAACTGCAGCAAGGAAATATAGCAAATCACACCATTGCTTTGCTTCGAATCGAAAATACATGCTCAACACAATTGTCAAATTATATGCTACCAAAAGAAAGGAAAAATCACTGCTTACAGGAAAAGAAAATTTGAGCAAAAGTTGAAACAGACACCAACCTTGTTCATTGATTTGAGTAATTTTCCAAGAGGCCCAGGGAACGGGCTGGCTACAGAAAACGAACCACGTTCATCAATTAAAGTATTCTGTGTGCAAGAGGTAAGGGAAATAATGAAATAAGTAAGAATTCAGTTGCCACGGTGAACAGACAGTTCCTCAAAGTTCTAAGAACTAATGCAAACGAAAAGCATAAGTTCTACATTCACAAGTGTTTTAACTTTCAAGGCCAACGAACATCTCGAGGAAGGAATTTAAACTTTATATAAACAATACAATAGTTATTCCAAATAACATGTATGCTTGAACTGTTCAACATATGACACAAATAAATACAATAGTTATTCCAAATAGTGCATCAACCAAAGGAAGAATAAACAGTTCAACAATGTCATCTAGTCTAGCCCTGAAATAAGTACAAACTGTTTTACCCCGACATCTTTAAAAGAATATAAAAGCATGGCCTATTTTCCTCCAACTCTTCATTTCCTTTTAAGTATTCATATCTGACACATTTTCGTATATGTGTACAATGATATGACCTTCCAACGACCCTCCAAAAACATAGAAAAATTTAAGGGGGAAATTTGAAGATGCATTTGTCGGACACATACCCTTATTTGATACTTACAGCGGCGTCCAAATAACATCGATTATGGGGCCTCAAGATACTTGAATATTAAGGAAACATTACAAGAAACAAAACAAAGTAGAGCCATAGCAGCAAGAGAAACATACCACATTATGCAAGTCATGTTCTGGTACCCAGATAAAAGGTTTCCCCTTCTTTACAATGTACTTAACCTTCGAGGTGTATATGTTCTCTTTGCTGAGATACAACCATTCAAAGCAATCAAGCACTATATATCCAAATGCAGCTAACCTCAACTATTTTCACTAAAACTCTTCTTTCCCCGTACCATTTCGGGGTAACCATTCAACTAGGGCTGCAAATGAGACGAGACAGATCACGAGCTACTTGTGTTCGAATCGGTCCAAGCTCGGTCAAAACTCGAATCGAATGGACTAGACTCAAATTCTTAACAAACCGAAACTAGTTACTTGATAATGATACCCGACTCGAAAAGCTCACGAGCAACTATATATATATTGAATTTTTAATTTTTTCAATTAAATTACTAATAATATTAACATTTATAGTTTTTTTAATAAAAAAATCTAGGATTTCATGTACTTGGTTCAAATTGAATCAAGCTAAGTTTGAGAATGTTTCAAATTCAAGGTTTTTTGAGCTCGAAACGAACTTCAATATTTGATTTCGAGCCGAGCTTGTAAATTTTAGGCTCATCGAGCTTCAATTTTTTATTTCGAATTTGAGACAAACTTGACAATTCTAAGTTCACCAGCTTTTGATTCAACTCAAACTCAACTTTCAACTTTTCGAGTGAATTAACAATATTCGAACTTGACTCGGCTTGTTTAAAGCCCAACATTTAACAAAGCTGAAGACTTTGATTGATGAAACCTGAAACACAAAACAAAAACACAACATACCTAATTGAATTAAAAAGAAAGGGGAAAACAGCAATATTGAAACGAAATATGAAAAGGGTACCTTCCATGGGCATCAGTTTTGATGGTATTAAGATGACCTTGCCAGTTTGGTGCCAATATATTCTACAACAAGGGGGCAGAAAAGTGAAAGTATTTAAATGTAAAGTGAGAGTAAAGCCGCTAACTTGTAGATTAGAAGAAATGGTGAAGAGTATTGAACCTTGCATTTCTCGGCAAGAGTTAAAACAGTAGCTTTGTTGCTGCCTTTCATTTTAACACCAGGTGCTCGACCAAATTACTCTTTCAGAATCTAGCTTCTCTGCTTTCGAAAGAAATTATCTTTTTCCTGGGTTTTCAGGAGAGACGCCCAAAAGAGGTTTATAGTGTTCAACAGGGTTTTAGGGATTTTTGTTGTTGTTAAATGTGTTAAATATTCCTCAATTATTTTAAAATTTAGAATTTAATCCTAATATTTTAATGATTTTACTTTTTATATTTACAAAATAATATATGTTCATAATTTTTTACACATGCGTACAATTATTCAAATTGAATCGTTTAAAAAATAACATTATCTTTTATCATCGATCATACTTAACGCTAGCAAATACACAATACTTTATTTAAAATCTACATAAAAATTAAGTGGTTGAGGATTTAAACATTGATATACTGATTACTCATAAATCTAGTTTGAATTCGACTCGACAACATTTTAAGGTCCTTTGTAGAATTTTTAAGCTAAAAGATGATGCTATTACTTTAAATTAAATCGAATTATGATTTTCATTCTCCTATTATACTTAAATTTATTATTTAATCTTTATATTTTAATTTGATAGTTTAATTTTATAATTTTATTAGTTTTGAATAGTATAATTTTATTAGTTAATTGAGCTAATTAATATCATTAATATATTAATCAGAATAGTTAACGATGTAAAATAATAGAATTAATTAACAATAATATAAAAGTAAATGATTGAATTATGTTAAATTAATGCATACGGACTAAATCTTAATTTTGAGAACAATAAAGGGAGCAAAATCAAATTGGACCCTTAAATTATTCTCTTAGCAAAAAGAATGAGTAAAATATTTTATTGATCACTTTTCTTCTATATTTATACACTTTTGCTCACAAAATCAAAACAAATATATTTCAGTCATTTGTGTTATCGATTTGTTAAATTTTAGTCATTTATGTTATTGATTTTATATTTTAGTCACTGATTCATCAATAGGAATTAATGGATCAGTGATCAAAATGTAATAATTGTTAACATAAGTGACTAAAATTTAACAAATTGATAATATAACTACATAAGTGAGTAAAGTGTACAAGCATAAAAGGAAAGTGATCAATAAGTTAGTTAAACCCTAAAAGAATAGTGATCAATATGAAAATATAAAGTTAAATAGAAAAACTTTGGAAGAAAAATTGGCAGAAGCGGAAACGGAATGGCGACGAGAGACCCATTGGATTTTGATGTCGGAGTAGAAGTAGACGAGGAGGGAACGCCGTCACCGTCTTCGATATCGCCGCCTTCATCTCCGCTGTCCTACCTAGACAGAGATCGGCACGTTGCGTTCTTTGAAATGTTGTACGATTTGATGCCTTATCATTACCAATCGCAGGAGATCAATCGCCTCACTCTTGCGTTTTTCACTATCTCTGGCCTTCACCTTCTCCAAGCCTTAGATCGCGTAACCTTTTAATTGTTTTCTTTTCTTATTTTGTTGTTTTAGAAATTTTAGCTTTCAAATTTAGCAGAAATATAAATTTGAAGTAAAAATAGCTGAATTTGAATTAACTACAGATGTCTGGCGCTGCTCTTTTTTCCATCTTATCTCGGTTAATCTGTACTCCTATTGGTTGATTGCAATAGCGAATTAGCTTCTTATACCTTCATAAAAAGTTAAAAGATTTTTTATTAATTTTCTTACAAAGGTTGTTAATCATCTTTTCTAGTTAATTAGGAAGTGAAAGAATCCTCTTTCTTGAGACATTCTGATCATAAATTGAACAACTTAATTAGACGGTACCAAAAAAGGAAAAAAGTATACTTATTAAATCTGATTTGCATATATTTTAGGTTGATAAGGACAGGGTTGCCAATTGGGTTTTATCATTTCAAGCACTTCCAAGAAGTCGAGCCGAACTGAAAAATGGTTCGGCCTTTTGCTTAATAATGTTGTCTTATTTTGTTTCCTTTTGATGCTTCATTGTGCTTTTGATTTATATAAGGAAGATATTTTCTAAAAGGAAATGCTTTTTTGTAGGACAATTTTACGGGTTTCATGGTTCTAGGACTTCACAGTTCCATCCGGATGAAAATGGGGTATGAAAAAGTCATTATATTGTCTTTTAGTCATTAATTGTTTGGTTTAATTGTTTTTTCTGTTTATTCTGCATATAGGTTTCAGTTCATAATGCTGGTCATTTGGCAAGCACTTACTGTGCACTAGCCATACTAAAGACGGTTGGCTTTAATCTCTTGACCATAGACAAAGAATCAATATTGATATCAATGAGGAATCTTCAACAGCCAGATGGAAGGTATGCTTCAAAGTGTTGCCCATCTGCCTGTATTGTTTGTAAGGGCAATTAATATATATTGAATATTGATGATATTTCTGTGCACCAATGTAGAATAGAAAGGGAAGGGGATTTTTTATTCTTCCTTTCAAATTCTTCTGTGATAGATCTAGCTAGTAGATTGTTTACTTTTGCATGAAGCTATTGGTGTTTCTCTTAATCTTGCAGTTTTATGCCGGTGCACGTTGGTGCAGAGACGGATCTTCGATTTGTATATTGTGCTGGTAAGAACTGAAAGCATTACCACTAAAATTCAAGCTATATCGTTTCAAGTTGTGCATAATGAAATCTTGGTTTAGCTAATTGATGTATCAGCTGCTATCTGTTTTATGCTGGAGGATTGGAGTGGCATGGATAGGGAGAAAGCCAAGGACTACATCTTAAATTGCCAGGTATTCCTGCATTGCACCGCTGAATTATCAACACTTCCATATTATCTTTTTTCTCTGCATATGCTATGGCATGTGTACTAAAAAGGTGGTTTTATTCTTTCAGTCTTATGACGGTGGCTTTGGCTTGATGCCTGGTTTAGAATCACACGGTGAGTTAGATCATATCTCATCTAATTGCTGATTAATGTTCTGTCAACACCATGCATCTAGAGTGGACCTAATCACTGTTTCTCTGAAACTTTTTCGTTGCTCATAGTTAACCGAGGCCAGTTTCTTTTGCCCCCACACGCTACTTATATCAAAATTTCATATTGTCCTGTGTAATTTGCTGATGGGCCTATATTTCAGTAGTAAAAGCTTATTCATGAAGCAGTCCTGGTCTTTTATTTCTTTAAGTTCATGATTGTGTTCACTTCGATGATAATTCCAATGGCATTAGTCTTAGTGATGCAGGGGGTGGTACATATTGTGCTGTGGCATCTCTTCGGTTAATGGGGTACATTGAAGATGATCTTCTGTCAAAAAATGCAACATCTTTCATTGTAAATGTGCCATTGTTGCTGGACTGGTGTATGCAGGTTTATTTCTATCATTTAGCATCGAGAAGCTTCACTTAATGTGCAGGGAGTTTTTAGCTTAATATATAGAAATAGACAATGGACCTCTTAAAAGCCAACTTAACTGGAAGTGCTAACAAAGCAAATTTTTAGATGATTCAATATTGTTACCTATGGGCAAACTCGATTTTTGAGTTGAGTGTTAGGCAATACCTGCATTCATTTTGCCTCAAGAATGATTTCATCCTTTCTTCTGTCATTTCTCAAACAGAGGCAAGCAATTGATGGTGGATTTCAAGGAAGAGCCAATAAATATAGTGATACATGCTATGCATTTTGGTAAGGATAAGAAAAACCTTTGTTCTTTACGGGGTGTAAGCTGCCTTTGATTTGATGAAACGATGTTCATGTGTAGGGTTGGGGCAGTTTTGAAGATCTTAGGGGGCTACAAATTAATAGACAAGATTGCTTTACGCAGATTTTTGCTGTCTTGCCAATCTGAGGTACTGATACTGCTACTTTGCACTTATAAATTCATCATGCATTTAAAAGAGCCTTCATCTAAATGTTGGTTCACGGGTAGCTTGTCTATTATATGCCCTTTGCATTTTTTTTATAAGAATTGAAGGCCTCGTTAAAAACCCCCTTCTTGATTAAAGGAACTCGTAAAGAAGCTCCTTAATCAGCGGAAAGAGGAAAAGAGTGCCTTGAGATTTCATTAAACATAAAGAAAGTTACAAAAATACAACACATAAAAACTCCCTTTACAAGGACTAAAAACCATAAGATAACCGGAAACAACAAGACAGAAGTCATCCTATTCCAGCCTTAGCTAGGGCATCAGCCTCTAAATTAGCTGTCCTAGCGACCCATCTAACAACACCCTCAAGAGCTCTAAGCCTATCAACAATGTCCTTAACAATACAAACATACACATCTGGACATAAATCTACATTCTGAATCCACTCCACTGCCACCCTGCTATCGCTCTCGATAATCAACCGATCCTTAACAATCTCTTGAAAAGAGACAAAGAAGGATAAACCCCTTTGAATAGCTTTAAGCTCCATCACTGTAGGAGGGCCCGAACCAGAAGACTCATTAAAAGTGCCTATAATCAAACCAGAATGATCTCTTAAAACGCCACCTAGACCACTCTTCTTCCAGTCGCAACTAGTTGCAGCATCAACATTCAATTTGATGAAGCCCTTAGGGGGAGGGAACCAAGGGATCTTAGATAAAATCACTTTCTTGTAGGATAAACAAGAATCCCCTAGTGAAAGATCATAAATAAGAGAATCCTTAAGGATAGAAATCTCCCTAAACTTAGCTAAAAACCAAGAAACAAGCCTAAATCTTGCTAAGAAAAATAATTCTGTCTGATCTAACTTCCCCCCTTCGAACACTATATCATGCCTGACTTTCCAAATGGTCCATAGAACAACCCTTGGGATAAATGACCATATATCTGAATTAGTCTTCAAATCATCCCAAGCAAGTAGAAAAATCTTGGCATTAGCGTGTAAAACAGAACTAAGCCTCCAAAACTTCATAAATTTATTCCATAAGGACCATACTACTGAGCAGGTGAAGAATAGATGTGTGGAAGACTCCTCCTCCAGCTTACAAAGAGGACATAAAACATCTTCAATACCCTGGACCCCTCTTTTAACCAGTTTGTTCTTAACTGCCAGCCTCTGAAGAACAACTTGCCACATAAAGGATTCCACTCTTGGAGGAAGCAGACCCCTCCAAATTATATTTTTCCAGAAATGAACCTCCTCCGAACCTGAAGAACACAAATTAACACAAGAGTTAACTGAATACACACCATCCCCATTGCCTTTCCATATCAAAACATCACTGGAGTCTTTAGAAAGAGAGTAATTTGAAATGATAACCATCAGATTAGACCATTGTTCGAGCTCCCAGTCATTTAAATTCCTTCTCACTTGAACATCCCAAATCCAACCCATAGAGCGATATTCACCAAACTCACATAATTTGCCATTCTTGTTTGATGAAATAGAAAACAATCTAGGAAAGATAACCAGTAGCGGATAATCCAAAGCCCAACTATCTTGCCAGAACCGAATGAACTTTCCATCACCAACTTGGAAACTACAGAAACTTCGAAATTTAGAGCCGAAGAGGTCATCTTTGAAATGGTTATTCACCGATGATCTCCAAATCCATGAAGCTTGGTGTGGAACCTTTCTGTCAAATAATAACAAGGATGCGTCAATATTGTATTTGTTGCACATGAATTTCCTCCAAACAGAGTTTCTTTCATTGGAAAACCTCCAAGACCATTTCCCTAGAAGCGCTCTGTTCATGCTGTTGAGATTCCGAACACCCAAACCTCCCTCATTCTTTGATTTACACACATTGGACCATTTAACCCAATGTATATTGTTTTTTCCATTCCCCCTCCCCATAAGAAGTTAGACATGATAGAGTTGAGGGTTTTGTAAACGGAGGCAGGAATCTTAAACAACGACAGAAAGTAAGTAGGAAGCGAGCAAAGGACTGACTTGACCAATACCAATCTCCCTGCTAATGACAGAGTAGAAACCTTCCAACCAGCTAGTTTCTTGTGAAAGTTTTGAACCACCGGATCCCAAAGAGCTGATGAATTCCTGGTAGCACCAAGGGGCAGTCCTAGGTAGTCTGAAGGAAAGGACCCAACTGAACAGCCAATAGACTGCCCACTCCAGAATAACCTCTTGAGATAAGTTAATTCCAAACAATTTGTTTTTCTTTAGATTTAACTGAAGACCGGACATAACTTCAAACACTCTAAGAACCCTCTTCAATTTCAAAATCTGCATCTTTAAAGCTCCACAAAATATGATTAGATCATCAGCAAATTGCAAGTGTGATAAATTAAAAGACCCATCCTCCCTACCTATAACCATTCCAGAATTGCATTTAAATTTTAAGTAAATGGAACAGCCTCATGATCAATGGAAGACAGGACACCGCTTTCTTGGGTGGTTAAAGCTAGCACCACTGCCTGAAAGTGGTCTTTGTATGGTAGTCACTGTCTCCTAGTAGGAACCACTAATTATCTAGAGCCAAGTTTGAGGGACTGTGAGATTATTGAAATTCCTATAGAAATGCTATTTCAGAAAGGAATTTAAGACCAATTGCAATGGAAAATAGGATCAAGGCAAGCTGAAAATGTCAAACCAGTTGCCTTGCATCATGTACATATATTCAATTTTATACTCGTATATGTAACCCTTATCTCTGCATCAATATCTCATTTATTTAAATCTATTAAGGTTGAGATTCTTATCTGTCAGATTGTCAATTATATTCCTATTTTGGTCTTATTTTGATCAGTTCGGAGGTTTCAGCAAATATCCCAGGGAACTGCCTGATTTATATCACTCCTACTATGGGTTTACTGCATTTAGTCTTTTGGAAGAGCCTGGCTTGAATCCACTCTGTGCTGAACTTGGAATGATAGATCTTGCTGCCTTAGGTATACTTTGACACCATTTTTATTTATTACCTTCGTTTGTTTGCAATTCCTGTACTTTGAACTCCATCGCACCTTTGATAGTGCATCGCATTCACTTATTGGACTTGTAGTTTGTGCTTATCTTTTCTCGTTTCTGGTCCTAAACCTATTCATTTGTATGCGTGGTACGTAGTTCAGAAAACTTGAACATAGTGTGTTTTATTGATGAATTTATTTCATTATATAAAAACCTCAAATGTTGTCGGGATCGACAATACACCCCTAATTAGTTTGATGCTAATTGCATTGCCGTCCTTTATATCATCCCACATTGCCATGTATGCATCTCTTAGGGTTTTGATCACTTGTGCATATAGCTTGAACATGTTGGTGGTGTTGCTTTCATCCATAATCCACATTAGTTTCGAGTGCATTTCGAAAGTTGTATTTTCAGACAGATCAAAAGTGTTGCATCATTACACACACACAATCTTTGATTTGTCCAGGTTTCCTACCTTCTTACTGTAAAAGAAAATGACGCAAGGCTTTTGTGTGGTGAAAAGTCACACTCACTGCAACAAAAGCCTCGGTGTGGTGAAAAGACAATTCCCACTGCACAGTTTTCACCAAAAGCGTTATGAAGAGTCCGCCTTAGAATACGAGGCTATTTGAACGCTTTAATAGATGAAAAGCATGGTTGTAGCTTGGTATAGAACACTTATACCAGGAGTAGTCGATAGGATGGCACTTTGACCTGAATCCAATTATTTTCAACTCGACCCAATCTAATAGTGTCCCTTTTTTTTTCTTTTTTAAAAAAACTTGGTTTTGGGATGAGTTGGTTTTGTAAAGGTTGAGGTCGGTTTAGGTAAGGTTCGAGTTTAGGGTGAAAAATCTTTGACTCGACTCAAGATAATAGTATAATTTTCATCTATATATTTAGAGATAATTGTTATAATACCCCTCTCTATAAGTATAGATTCTTATTTTATTGAATAAAGATAAAAAATATATATATTTGAGTCGGGTTGAATTAGAAGCATGTTTTTATCATAAAATTTAGGTTGGGTTTTAGGTCAGATGGGGACTCTTTAAAGTCGGGTCAAGTTCGGGTGGAGGGGTATGCTTCTCAAGTTGGGTTGGGTTCGATTGGTAAAAGCCCGATCTATTGCCATCTCTCTGTCGAATCAGGTAGTATGTATATTTTTATGAACAATATCTAAATCAGTCATAACCCCTTTAGACCTTAAAATTAAAGAAAAAAATACGCACACATCAGTTGTAATATACATATTAGTTGTAACTAAAATAGTATCAATTGAATTAAGGTTCAGTGGGATGATGAAAAGAATAAAAATATAGGAGAGCACATAATAATGATGAGTGGAGGGGCAACCCTGCCTAGTCGTCCGGGGTAATTGAAGCATAGAGGGAAAATGTGATGATTCTTTGGGTTTACTTTTCACGGGCGATTTCATGTGCTTTGTCGTTTTGAAAACAGTATACCTTAACCTTTATTCGTTTCATAAAAAAAATGAATAAATATGTTCGTACATGATAGTTTTGAATTATAGTTTTTGCATTGGACACATATCTATATCTTTTAAAATAATGAGATTTCAACGTTAAACTTCTTTTGTACGTATTAAAAAATCTTTGCATTAGAGTAAAAACACATTTTTGTTAATTAACTAATTATTACATTTAATATGTATTTAATATAAAAATAGTTTATAGTATTTAAAATAATAAATAATATATTCAGACTATGGCCAAAATAAAAATTTAGTGGCGTAGATTACCTTTTCTTTAATGGAGTAAACACTAAACAATAATCATCCCGTTGGAGAACATCATGCCAACATCAACAACAAATTTCCAAGACGAATTAAATCATCCTTAAATTGCTCCAAATTTTGCACATATCATATTCGAATTTTATCAATAATCTTTTATATTTCACTAAAAATTTGTACAATTCAAAGCAAAGAGTTTGTAAGAAATATACAGTGCTCTCATTGAAATGATTACAGAAGTATCAAACAGCTAAGTACACATGGAGGTTGAAATTAAAAATAAAAATCCCCCTCCCACTAAAAAAATAGGATTTTTTCGGTTTCAGTTTTGGTTGATCATTAGAAGAAAAAACTCGAAATATTGTTAATTTAAATGGAAATTGGCCGTTGCTGGTAAAGAACAAGAATAAGAGGCAAAGTACCTGATATTGTGATCCACTAAACCCTGTTTTATTTGTTTTTATCTGCAATTATTATGATAAAAGATCCATCATCTTCAGCATTGTCATCAACTCCTTCCATTAATGTAACCATTTTTGAGCTTCTCCTCAGCCTCTTGCAAGAACTTGAACTTTGGAGGAGGTGATGATGACATGTTGAAATCTCCACCATTTGATAATTCAATCAAAGGGTTGAATGATCCATGCTGATTGTAACAACAAGCAGCCTCTAATGGTGTAAGTGGAGGTGTCAAAAATGGAGGTGAAGCCAATGTGGTCAAATATGGGGTTTCAACACTAAAGACCACATCACTCAAGCTCCTCCCTTTCTTTGATTTAGCTTCCTCAGACTCCAAATCCTCCTTTGTTTCTTCAATAATGGTGAACAATAACCTTGGTGACCCATCATCATCATCATCATCATAGGGCTTGAAAAACAAACCTTTGTTTGATTGCAGATGATGAACCTCATCATGATGAGATGGTTGCTATTGGATTTCATGTGGATTCAAAGCTGATTTCTTCCCACAAAACATGTAGAACAATCTCTTCTTCCACCATAGCAAGTAATACAACTCGGCAATCAATGCTAAGAACAGAAGAACAAACACTATGCTCAAACCAAGCCCTACACTGCTCAAAGATTTCATCTTTTTGTATCACAAAAACTATAGAAAAAAGTACTTCAAAATCGCCCACTCAAAATTACCCTTTCATCAGTTGAAGAAACAAGTGAAAAATCAAGAGAAAAACACTAAAAATATAAGAAAAAAATAAGGGTTAATGAGAGGTTTCAATCAAACAAAAACCCAGAAAGGGAAGGAGAAGTAAAGTGATGAACTTTGACCAGAAAGATAAAACATCCCCCCACCCCAAAGTGAGTTATATGATTCTCAGACCTCTCTTTTCTTTCTTAAAAGCATTAGAAATATACAATTATTCAGTTTTTATCCTTATTTATTTAAAATACAATTAAGATTAGAGAAAATCGCCTCAGTGACCAAAAATACCTTATAATATACGATTTTAACCAACTTTTTTTGGATTTGCCAAAATGACCAATAAAATCGCAACGCGATATCAAAATCGCAACGCGATTTAGAAAATCGCAACGTTAAAAAGAAAATCGCAACGGTCAAAAAAAAATCGCAACGCGAGCTTCCAAGTTCGCAACGCGATTTAGAAGAAAATCGCAATGCGATTGATAGAATCGCAACGCGATTTAGAAGAAAATCGCAATGCGACTGAGAGAATCGCAACGTTGAAAATAAAAAAAAACATTTGTTTATCTAAAAAGATAGTATCCGCGCGGACGTGTCGAAGACACGTATTACCACGACCACGACCACGACCACGACCACGACCACGACCACGACCACGACCACGACCACGACCACGAGAGTCCCCCTTGTTCTCTTTCACTCAACAAGGAAATGCAAAATACAAGCCTTAAATATAATTCTCAATAGTGTTTCCAATACTATGTGGGATTGAGCATTACCAACACTTGTTCCCAATATCATTATTCTTCATAAGTTATCATCCATTACAATATGAATTATCGATAATAAATTAATTCATTTTAATAAGTATTTAAAATTATAACTTGATAAATACATGAAATAATTCTATTATTAAATAAAAAATATATTTTTTATATTAAAATTATTGAGATAGATATTTACTATAAAAGTAAAAGATTTTTTTTTCACATACAACCTCTATGTGAATTAGTTTCACAATAAGGTATCGGTTATGCATTGGATTCTTTCGTATTAGATGGTCTTTAATAAGATCATCATCATCATTCTTTTGTTCAACAATACCATATATTAATGAGGTATATTGGTTCATTAACACGACTAATTCATATTGTAATGGATGATAACTTATGAAGAATAATGATATTTGGAACAAGTGTTGGTAATGCTCAATCCCACGTAGTATTGGAAATACTATTGGGAATGGTATTTAAGGCTTGTATTTTGCACTTCCTTGTTGAGTGAAAGAGGACAAGGGGGACTCTCGCGCGCCGCCGCCGCCGCCGTCTCGTGGTCGTGGTCGTGGTCGTGGTCGTGGTCGTGGTCGTGGTAATACGTGTCTTCGACACGTCCGCGCGGATACTATCTTTTTAGAGAAAATTCTTAAGAAACAAAAATTTTTTAACTATTCTTTTGACCGTTGCGATTTTCTAAATCGCGTTGCGATTCTCTAGCTTTAGAGTTTAAACGATTAGGAATTTAAGATATATATATATATTTTGGAGGGCAAGTAGGGAAACTATTCAAAAAGAGTTGAGCAAAATCCTTTGTATTTTTATGGTTGAGAGGTCGCTGGAGTGCTCATTTTTACTCTGATATACCTTAAAAGATTATTTTAAATATCATTTTACAAAATTAAATTATACTCGTGATCATTTAATTATAAATATATTTTAACGTGTTCATCAATATTTTAATTTTATTATTCAAATTGATTAATTATTTAAATGATGTTAATCAAGTTATTAGTCATTAATATATAATTGGATAAAGTGATGTGTCATTATTTAATTTGATGATTAAATTTATTGAATTAAGTTATGATTAAGACGAAATTAATAAAATATGTAAAAAAGAATAGAGATCAAATGTATAATTATACCAAAATTTTTAAATATCACGTCATCTTATACCTTAAATGTTAATTGTTTGTGCCTTGAAAAACATAATTTAAATAATTTATTGCTCTGATTAATAAAAAACTTTAAAATAAGTAGTCATCAGTGTAACTTACTCTTTTTAAAAGATAAAGATTTATATTCAAAGGTTATATTCATAATAAAAAAAAAAACATTACAAATCATGTAGATTATGACATATGTTGCGAATGTGATTATAATATTGTGATTATAAATATCATAAACATTAATTTTACAAATAAAAAATCATTGAAAATAAATATAAACTATATACTCTCTTATGTATTTTATTTAAGTTATAAAAATGAAATGATTTTATAAATAGAAATTCATTGAAATAAATGTAGACCATATAAACATTTTTATGTTAAATAGTGGATAATAACAAGTAACATTTTGACCAATAATATGTAAAAGATTTAATGTTAAAAAAATATAAATAGTCTTATTTTTAAACATAAAAAAAGTAAGTTTGCATATTAAATTATTATTTGATACGTTGTCGGTGGAAGTTTTTTTCAAGTATATTTAAAATTTTAAACGATTAAAATTAGATAATTTGCATCATTTAAATTATAAATGAGAATCTTTGAGATGATGATTAATTAATTTCATTATCAATTATAAGCAAATTATACGACGATGAATCTGTAAATGATTCTTGATGTGATATTAGAAGTTATTTAAAATGTTTCATTAATGAGGTTTCACATTTTGGATCACTTAGAGGTCTTTTATAATATTTAAACTCGACCCGGTAATGTCCTGATAACGTCCTCAAATCTTCGTCTTCTTCGAATTGAGACAAACACAACGCACACATTCCACCATCATCGGCCAAACTCGTGCCCTTTCATTGGGAGGGGATGAGCTCAGTCGTCGAATTCTCTAAGCTAATAATCTCCAACATTTTGTGTCTGATCGCATGTTGTTGTTGATCTTCTTGTTTTTGTTGTGATTTTCGACCTCGGACATTATTATTATATTGGTAGATCGTTACGACCGGGGGCGGATGTACATGGCTCCCTAGAAGAGCCATTGCACACTCATTATTTTAAAAAAAGTGTTAAATTTAGTTTAATTTGTAAATAGGAATAGAAAAAAAATTGTATACCCAAATTTTTTTAAAATAGGGTATTAAAATTTTGGACCCCCAATTTTTAATTTCTAGATCCGCTGCTGGTTACAACAAGGCTGCCGATCTCATGCCGACTAAAATGATGGACGATCTGCTGTCTGCGAACAGTCATCGTTGTCATCTTCCATGACAGAGAGTGAGCATGTTGCAGAGTTTTTTTGGGGGAAGGAATTTTATGCAAGTTGGGGCATTGCTTTGGTCGATGAGCGCAACGATTAGCATTTTCCTATGAAGAATATTAAAAAGTTAAGTGAATGTTATATTATCATGTTTTTTTAATTAATCTAGTTATGTGATTACAAAATAATATATGTTTAAATATTTTTAACTATTTGATATTGAATGTTCATACTCCTGACATACATAGTGCTCGAACCCAAAATAAAAAAATAATAGCACATTAATAATTTTTTAACTACTAAAGTCAATTTGATTCGTGCTTATTATGTGTTTTTATATGTATTTGTTTACAATTTTTTTATATGTAAAAGTTAAGTGAAAGCTACATTATCAAGTGTTTTTATATGTAAATGTTCTGTTGGTCTTCTCGGTCCTTAAGAATTTTATCCTAATTAATTCGAATCAATTTATATCGTATATCTGATTTCGATGGATGAATTTTTTCAGGAAATAAATATTTACAATTTAATTCATATGATTTAATTTTTTACGTCAAACTGAAATATCCATATGATAAGTAAATATGTACTTATAATTTAAGCCATGTGTTATAAATATACTCTACGAGTGCGTTTGGTTTACGGAATGTAAGATTACCAGTGGGAATGTAAGATTATCAGGGAATAAGATTACTGAGAATGTTGTATTTTGTGTTTGGTTGGCTTAGGAGGAATGTAAGATTATCATGTTTGGTTAAAAGAATAAAAGATTATTAGAATGTATATTTGACCAAATTATCTTTATTATATATTTGTTTTTATAACAAGTTGAAAAATATTTATATATTTTCTTTAAAAAATTTAAATTCATAAAATTTATATATTTTTTTTTACAAAATTGAAAATATAAAAAGATTTAATGAAAGGGTAAATTTTTTTTAACCCCTGAACTTCATATAAAATTTTAATTATAGTTTTTTTTTTGTAAATCTAAAATAGTTTAAGAATAAATTTGTAATTTAACCTTCGTAGAATTTTTATTATTCAATGACAGAAGAATGATATTTTTGAAAGAAAAAAAATTTAAGGACATTTTAGTTCAAAACACCGGTAATTCAACAATACCTAAGAAAAGAGAGGTAATGACATTCCTGATAATATACCCCAAAAAATCCACTATTAGTAATCTTACGTTACCAAGAATGGGATTCCCGGACTAACCAAACGGGGAATGTGGATTTCATTCCCATGAGAATCCCACATTCCTCCATCCAAACACCCCTACGTAATATTCAAATCGACCGTCAGAATATATATATATATATATATATATATATATATATATATATATATAACCCCATATTAAATCCATCAATGAAAAATAAATAAATTCACACACAGATATCCCAAAGTAGTTGAACAACATATATAAGTAGTTTAACGAGGAAACATTAAAATGATTGAATCCAACATATTGATATTCATGGCTTGGATGGTGGATGCCTATTTCCTCTCGGATTTGGAGCAGATGGAACCTTTTTCATGCTTTCATCCACCTTCGTCTCACTTTCCTTCATTGTTACACACAAGAATATTCAGACAAATAAATATCCCGGTCCTATCATAATCTAATTCACTGACCATGTATATGTCGAATAACTTACCCAAGTAGCTAACAAGAACCTGTTCACAGAATCTGGGTTTGTCTTTGCAGGTCTGATCATCTTCATATCATCGTCCACTGCAAACGCAGATTATTACAGTGTTTTGTATAAGATTATTCCAAGATATATATATTTAAATAGCCTGAGTGGTTATAAGTAATATCTGTTCAAAATTATTTTTTTAGTAATCTACAACGTATACACCTCTAGAGAGAACAACACTCTATTTGACTATCGAAGTCACTCGATCAATGAGTTCGGGGACATATATGTTTGATTAAGAGAAAACAAAGCAACCAAGAGAAGAACTTGCCTGTCTCGATGGCTATTGAGAACTGGGAAGATGTAAGAAGTGCAAGGAGCAGATAGGGGAGAATGACTTGGGTTTTGATCTTCATGTCTGGCTCGAATTGTGTGTGCATGAAGGTGGTAGGGGGCTGGGTATTTATGGTGGACAAATTGGGTTATTTAATGATGACTTAGTTTGAAAAACACGGGAACTGTTACTACAACTGTCTGGGAATCCAATGCTTTTTTTTTTCTTTTTACAGATTTGGATTACGCTGGCTAGAAAATGTGGGATTTTTATTCCTTGGCGTTTCACGTTGACTCCACTTGATGGGGACAAACCAAACCATGTGATTGAGCTATTTATTTTTTCAAGTATTCATGCCTTATTTTAGGATGAGTAAAATTTGACTCTGTTCAAAAAGTTGATAATTTTTTATTTTACTTAAATTGAATGTACTTATAATTTTATAGACTCAATTTGAAAAAAAATTAAATACGATTCGAGTTATAAAATAAAACTCGAATAACTCGAAAATTTTAAAAATTAATGAATTGATTTTCAAGTTTGAGTTGAAACCCTCAATTTTGTATGATATATGTATATCACATCTGAAGAAATATATATGATTATAAAAAACCATTTAAATTAGAATCAAATAATATTATATTATTATAAATATTTACAGTTAAATTTAAATATAAACTCGACTTGACACAAAAAAATTCAAATAAAGTTTAAGTTATAAAATATGACAAATCAACTGGAATAACTCAATTTTTTTATTCGACTCGACTTGATTAAAGACTCACCTCTACATGATTTGTAAATTTGACATTTTAAGATAAAAGTAAAAGTAAAAATGAGTATTCAATCAAATCAAGTGGAGTAATTCGAGTTAATCTATATTCAACGCCTACAACTGAATTTAAATATAACATTGATTACTCCGTTGATGAAAAGTAGCAAGTGGTGGTTTGTAAATGGGAAAGTTAATTGTTGATTTTTCTAATCATGTAATAGAATGGTCCAAAAATCATTGCTTTTGCAACGTGACATTGTCATCCCAATGTTCCTCACCACTTCTTGTTGGCTGCAAATTTAAACTCTTTGTGTTGTATTACTTATTAAAAACATGTTTCTGCTTTTACATTATTATACAATCCGTGACCAAAACTCTATAGCTCAAACTAATTGGGTTTAAAATGTTAAACCGTCAAATTATTAACTTTTTCTTGCTGTCTCTTTTTTCAAGATTTACCTTAATTAATTCGGATCGATCTACATCGTACATATAATTTTAATAGAAGAGTTTCCTTAACGAGAATTTTCTATATTCATAAAGACTGTTAAATTATTAATAATTGGATGTACGATAATCTAATGTTATATAAAATATTTTTTTATTCATCAAAGTTAGAAATTTTATACTTATTTTTATCCTAAATACTAGTGTACTTGTCTCATCTCCTCTGCTATTTTTTTGAATTGGATTTAAAAAAAACATTTTTTAGAACTTACAAAATTTAATAAAATTCTTTATTTTTGTGATTTTTTTTATTGAATTTGAAAGGTTTGGAGTATTTGTTCGAAGATCCAAATGAACAACATATTATAAAACTAGCATAATCGAATAATCATGGAGGAATTAAAGTATTAGAAACCTTTAGATAGATTTTTGTTGATTTTAAACGGGTTTCGTGAAAAATCAATTCAATAAGAAAAATATGATTGAAATATAAACGTTAACAATCTAATGAATTAGCATATGAATTAATTAATTCATAAACTAAAATTCAATATCAAAATTTAAGATATTCTAAAATTTAATAATAAAATCGATAAATAAACTATCAGGTCGTTAATAATTTATAAGGTATAAACCATTGAAGAGAATGTTTTGCAGCTCTTTCAAGAAGTACAGTGTTTTGACAGTAACTCCATTGGAGTGGAAACCCCAGTTGGCAAATATAGAAAAGAAAGAAAGGTAAAAGCAAACACACTTGAAACCTGGATCTGCGTAATAATGGTGTCATGCCTCATTGACCTCATGAATCAGACAAACCCCTAATCATAACATTTTTGTTTCTATGCATCTGCCTCGGATTTTGGAGATCTAATTCATAACATTGGGGTTTCCTGTTATGCTTGTGGTTCTACTTCGTCCTATTAGTTTTGGGTTTGAGTCCGAATAATTTATTTATTTTTATCATATCGAAATGATATTTATTGTTATAGTTAAAAGAAAATAACAAATTTAGATATGATCTTTGTTGGAAAATAGGTTGATGTAAAATAAAATCTTAGTATTAATTGAAAAAATAATTCATATAGAAATAAATCAAATCATAATTATATCGTGTAAGAATTACTATCTAAATTTGTCATGATTAGTGTAATTATAAAATAGATGTCGCCTCATGAGATTAACACAACTTTTCAATGTTCGTACACTCAAATATTGAAATGGAATTCAATCGGTATATTTGTTTGTTAGTTTTTTTTTTTTTTGAAAAGATGATATTAAGGTTAAAGATGTCTTCATAAAAAAGAAATTTTACGTAAGAGATAAGGGAAGATAAGAAGAAATTACCGTGAGTGTTATGTTTTCTAAAAGTGAACAACTTATATTTATAGGTTCAAACTGAGGGCAAAAGAAATAAAAATTATAAAAAAATTTATCTGTCATTAATATTATTTTAATGACTATATAATATTTTAATATTTTACAATAACTAGTAACGGTATAATATAAATTTTGAAAAAATATTTTATCGACAGTATTGTGTCTAAAAAGATACAAGACTAAAAATTAAATCAAATTAAACAATTTTTATTCAATGTGAAATTCTTTACGTTACCGACAATGCTAAATGTACATTTTATATTGACGAACATATAAATCATGTTATATTGTTGATTAACAAATAAGTAAAAGTCTACTAGCTCATTTTTATAATTAATGGATGACCAACCCCGAAAAATATGCATAAATATTTTTGTTGTTGTAGCTCAGAATATTTTAATTTTGTCCTGATTAATCTGAATCGATTCGTGTCTCACATCTAGTTTTGATGAGTAAGTCCACAATAGATATTTATACATAAGGTCTCAAACTCGAAACTTGTTTAAGCAATATCAAACTTATTATCACTTTAATTAATCATAGTTGATATTCGTAAATAAAATTTAATTCAATTCAAAAACAAAATGTTTTATTAATTTAAAGTTGAAAAACCGTTTTAAGAATCACGTTAAACCTACTTGCTACTTCCATTGTAAATTCATGATCTAATTATATTAATCTCCCAAGCTTGGTTCAACAGAAATTTCGTTGCGTCCGCAATGACATTGCCGGGGTTCATGGACCAAAATCATTAAAGACTTCAATGCATTCTGTTTCCACTTCAATCTTGTCGAATTTCAAATTCCACGCCTGTTTTAAAGCATCGTGTGCCACCTATAATTCAGAGAGGTAGACAGAACACAATCAGACTTCGTAAAAAGTCAAACAATCATCACGTATTACTCCATCACACGAGGCCGCTCCATCACCTCATCTCATCGCTCCATCGGTATTAACTTTTTAACTCAACTATAAGATCTTCTCCATTGCAAAGCCTCACGCACAATAGCATGTTGTAAACCATTATGTTTTTTATCTTCTTCTAGTAAATATCTTATTATTTCTTTACTGCAAATCAAATTGTTAATTTTAATCTATTTATTAAAAAAATTTAAATCTATATAAAATCAAAAATGTTTTACAACTATATGAGAAAATCTCAACCCTTGTCATATGCATATACTATTAATAAGTGTAAAATCTCTTTTTCCAGTTTTCCCTCTCCTTTCCTTTCCTTTCCTCCGTCTTTTCCTTTCTTTTCACAACATTTTCCCTCTCGTCTCCTCCCTTATCCCATGACTCCCACCTCTATTCCCCGCGACTCCCAATTCCTTCCCTTTTTCTCTCATGACTCTCTCTTTCCCTCCCTGTCTCTTCCTCATTCTCCCACCACTAAATCCTCACCCTCATAATCGCAGCCCTTCATCATGCGGTCGCCACAGGCTTTCCGCAACGGAGACACCCCTTCCCCTCACTTTCACAACACCGTGACTCTCCGTAAACTCAGACGATTCAACACACTTATTCTCGTCTTCCGAGTTACTGCTTTCACTTTCTCCTTCGCTTCCTCAGTCTTCATGGTCACTAACTCTCGCGGCTCCGATTCCCCTCACTGGTTCGATTTCGACGCTTTCAGGTCATTTAATTCAATTTTTACTTATTTGAAGTAGATTTTTTTAAAGTATCAATTTCGATTTTGTTGATGTTTTAACAATTAAAAGTTATAAAATATTTATTTAATTTTTTATATATTTTATTTTTTTATTTAAAAATTAATAATTATTTAAATTAAATGTTATTTTGTTAAATGAGATATAATAAAATTTAATCACTTAACTAGTTCAATTGTATTTTTTGAAATCAATTTTATGTTTACATTATATCATCAATTCAATATTTAAAATTTTATGTTATTAAAAATAACAATAGTGATAATAGACATCATTCAAATATAATTTATTATATGCCAATTATTATGTTAATATTCAATTTAAACGATTTCTATTTAAAAAAACGAGTTTAAAATATATGAACAACAAATTATCATTTTGTAACTCTTAAAAATTAAAAATTCAACAAAATAATATTCTGTAATCAAAAATTATTTTATAATTTTTAAAAATTAAAGAATTTAATAAAATAATATCTTATAGTTTAAGAATATTTTTATAATTTACCTTCAATAAACAAGTCATAATATTTCTAGGAAATTCACAAAAAATATCTTATAAAAAACATATTTTAAAATTAAAAATAATTAAATGACAATAGAATACTAAATTAATTTATTGAGAACCATAATTTGAGGACCTCTTATGAAATTCGACCTTGTGTTTTGGTAAATAAAATCATGTTGGATTAGGTATTTGCGTATTTATTATTGTCGGCAGATTCCGCGGGAACAGCGATGACGAAGATGTTGAAATGTACGGACACGTGTACGGCATCTATCTTGATCTGCATGCAGTCCGATATATCCGTGGCATTGGGTTCCGCCGGGTTTTGTTTCTCGGGTTGTCGTCGTTGCTGTCGGGTTTTCGTGTTGTCTGTTTTATTATCAACGGCTCTCGTTTCATATTCTAAAGACACTATTTTTTTTTGATGTACCGAAGAGTTTAATTCTCATTTTTACCCTTATGACGTCGAGAGTTATGCAATCTTTATTTTGTTTTTTTATTGATTATCAGATTATTAGACATGATTTTAGGTGCGTTCGATTCAAAAAATGTAAGATTACCGACAGAAATAAAATTATCGGCTGGAAATAAGATTATCGGCGGGAATAAGATTATTGTGAATGTTGTATTTTATGTTTGGTTCGTTTAGTAAGAATATAAGATTACAATGTTTGATTAAATGAATAAAAGATTATTGAAATATATATTTTATTAAATTGTCCTCATTATATATTTGTTTTTTAACAAATTAAATTCTACTATAATTAATTTATATATTTTCTTTAAAAATTTAAAATTTATATAATTTTTTTTACAAAATTGAAAAGATAAATAAGTTTAATGAAAAGGTAAAATTTTATTTTAACCCCTGAATTTTATATAAAATTCTAATTATGGATTTTTTCAAAATCTAAAATAGTTTAAAGATATATTTGTAATTTAACCTTCGTATAAATTTTATTATTCGACAACAGAAGAAGGATATTTTTGAAAAAAAAATTAAGGACATTTTAGTCTAAAACGTTAATAATCCAACATTACCTAAGGGAAGAGGGTAATCACATTCCCGGTAATATACCCCCAAAATACCACTGTTGGAAATAAATGATTACTGAGGGTTGAGAATGTTTACCAACCAAACATGGGAACGAAATTCCATTCTCCCGGTAATCCAATATGACGCCAACCAAACGCCCCTTATAATGCACAAATATTCCATCCACTAAAAATTACAAAATGATTCTATAACTATAAAATATTATTTTATTAAATTCCTTAATTATTAAGGCTTAGTTTATTTTCACTGTGCAACCTCTTCAAACCTCTTATGTCTGCGCCACGCTGACCACGTGCAGACATTAGAATTCGCAGACTGTTTGTTTTTTAAAAGACATAAACTCTTCTAACGTCTGCGCGAGCTCTTCTTGGTGCAAACATGGTTTTATGTCTTCAAACCTCTTCAAGAACAATTATAAAATATGATTATTTATTAAAATAATTTTAAATAATTTAATAAGATTATTTATTTTAAAATAATTTATTTTAAAATAATTTACTATAAAATAATTTATTTTAAAATAAATTATTATAAAATATAGATTGATTTATTTTTAAATAATTTATTTTAAATAATTTATTAGTATGGATTGATTTATTTTAAAATATAGATTGATTTATTTTAAATAATTTATTAGTATGAATTAATTTATTTTAAAATAGGAATTGATTTATTTTAAATAATTTATTAGTATGAATTGATTTATTTTAAAATATTAATTGATTTATTATTGTAGTTGTATTGATTGATTTATTTTAAATAATTTATTAGTATGAATTGATTTATTTTAAAATATGAATTGATTTATTTTAAATAATTTATTAGTATAGATCGATTTATTTTAAAATATGGATTAATTTATTATTATAGTTATATAGATTGATTTATTTTAAATAATTTATTAGTATTGATTGATTTATTTTAAAATATGGATTGATTTATTTTAAATAATTTATTAGTATAGATTGATTTATTTTAAAATATAGATTGATTTATTATTGTAGTTGTATAAATTGATTTATTTTAAATAATTTATTAATATAGATTGATTTATTTTAAAATATAGATTGATTTATTTTAAATAATTTATTAGTATAGATTGATTTATTTTAAAATATATATTGATTTATTTTAAATAATTTATTAATATTGATTGATTTATTTTAAAATATGGATTGATTTATTTTAAATAATTTATTATTGTAATTGTATGAATTATTTAAATTTCAGTATTGTAAAACTAAAATTATTTAAATCTCAGTATTGCAAAACTCTTTTAAGTTTAAAAAACCAGTTTAGTTATATTTCAGTTTATTTTAGCAGTCTGCAGACGTTAAAAAAAACAGTCATCTTCTTGCAGGCTGCAGACTTTTGGTCCACCTCTTCTGCTGCAGATGTGGTCCGCAGACTGCAGACCTTTTACCTCTGCAAAAACAAACACCACCTAAAAGTTATAAAATAACCACTCAATTCATATGTTTTAAACTCATCTATTCACATATTTTCAAGTTTAGTTAAGTCCCTTAACTTTGTATGATATATACATAACATATGAAAAAACACGAAGATATATATATATATATAATTATAAAAAACCGTTTAAATTTGAATTAAATAGTATCATAATATTATAAATATTTATAATTAAATTTAAATAGAAACTCAAACAACCAGATTCAACTTAAAAAATTCAAATAAAGTTCGAGTTATTAAATAGGACTCGTCAAATCGAAATACTCAAAAAGAATTTATACGACTCAACCGAACGCTCACAACTCATCACTAGCCACTAGTATTCTAAGGACTAAGAAGGCAGGGGGAGCCTTTGTTTTCTGCCTTAAAAGGAAATCAATGAAAACATAGCTCAAACGAAATGCTAGTCTATGTTACTTTGAAATTAGATGTGAGTGTGAGATACGAGTATGCATATGATATAAATAAACTCTATTTCATATCTCTATACATATGTTCGAAAATGTATTGGTCACGGATACTTAAAGAAAAAACAAGAGTTGAAAGCAATTATCTAAATGCATGTACAAGTTCAAACATGCATATCATGTGGGGTTCAAACATGTACAAATTCTTATTTAAATGCATTGAAAAACTAAGTCAACATGCTTCAAATCATAAGAAAAATGGTTATAGATCAATCTTTAGTAGAAAAACAAAGTTGCAGTTCAATCATGCAAAGAAAACTAACATGTTACAAACATAAACTAAGTTCTTATCTAAAAGGTGCATATATTAGCTCAGTACAGGGTTTCAGTTTCCTTCATATTTTGGATCAGCCATCACATAATGGTAAGCAATTACCAGCGCAAATATAAAAATACCAAGAAAATTGGCAAGAAACCCCAGCTGTTGGTCATCAATCTTCTGCGTGAACATGTAAAATCCCCACAAATCAATGGCTCATCAAAAACCAAGCTTATATTGACAGTCTTGACATCAATGTAAAGTAAAGGTCAATGTTTGTTATTAGTCCCTGTACTATGAGTCAGGGCTAAAATTTACATGGCCTAAAAATAACCAAATTAGAATATAGGTGCTAAATTCACAAATTATGTATAGTACAAGGACTAATAGTATAACTTAACCTACAGTAAACTATGTGAAAGGTTATTCCAAACAAATTCAGACTAAAAATACTTCATTTCTTACACATAATGAGGCTTGCTATAAACAATCAACATTGTAGGGCATAACTACCAATCATTTCAATACTAAAATTACTTCTTTTCATCCAATTCTATTCATATTAACCAAACTCATGCTTCGAGAACTATTTACATAGCTTTACACATTGCTATAAGCAATTATCAGTAAAATGATAGAGATGCCATTCGTTTCTTCGGGTCTAAATGACTTCATCCAATTCTGAAAAATTAACTATAACTCGTGCAGCGAAAACTAATTGCACAGCTTTACGTATTACTACAAGCAAATATCAGTAAAATGAAAAAGAAACTAATTCAAACAAAAACGTAAGCTTTCTAATTTTTATTTTTCGCAAAGCTCAAATCAAAGAAGGAAAAAGATATAGAGCGATCGCAGTGGGATTCGAACCCACAACATTTAGATCCGGTATCTAACGCGATATCCACTCCGCTATGCCATGGATCTTATAAAATAATTATGACATTCATTTATATTAGTACAACAAATACCGGAAGCCTGCAAGTTCCAAAGACCTAAAAAAAAAAAGGAAATGTAATCTGCTCATACAGTGAATCTAAAAGAGATCGACGATCTGCTAAAATGTCTAAATGAAAAAGCAAAAAAAGTGAAGAAGAAGAAATGCAATACACACGCGCGCGCGCTCATATGTATATGATCTGCTTAGAGAAAGAGTGAATCTAGAAGAGATAGGCGATCTGATTTAAGATGGTTACAATTTTCTTCGATTATAAAGGAGAAAAACAAGAAACAGAGGCAATAAAGGGGAGGAATTGAATCAGAAGCAACGCACCTTTATGGATCGAGGAGAATCCAAAGCAACGAGCAGATCTCCAGCAAAACAAAAATGGAAAAATTTTTGAATAAGCGAAAACAAAAACGTCTTTGTTTAAGTCAATGAAAAACAGCAGAAGTTCCCATGAAATTTTTATAATTTGTAGCTGTCGGCAAAGATTTTGAGGAAGCAAAACGGCATGAGTCTTGGGCTCTTGTCAACAAAAAGTGGGCCAAAGTAACTGAGTTGAAAACTTAATGCAAAGCTGTGGCTGCTGGGATTCGAGCCCAGGTCTCCACGGCCACAACGTGGAATTCTTACCACTAAACTACAGCCACAAGTTGATCTCTTTCAAGAAATAATATTATAAATTATAATACTTTTCTTACATTTTATTTGACTTGTTTTAGAATTTATCTAATTATATTAATATATTTTTTGTATTTTTGTCATAAATATAAATATATTGCAACTATTTTTTTATGAAAACAATGATTTTAAAAATTATAAAAATAATAGATATACAACCCTTTAAGCTCCGTTTTAACTTATGAAAATATCTAGTTAATTGAAAAGATAATCATCATAGATAATAACATTTTTTTTAGAATTTTATTCTTATAATTTGTCCCATTCCCATCACGTTAAAAAAAATATCAATAGTGGTATTTCTCTTGGTAAATTATGGAAATGTATTTGTCGATTCTTATCATTTTAAATAAAATTTTCTTGAAATAATAAACTTTCTTGACATAATAAAATTTTCTTGACTATTTTTGTTTTATATTAATTAAATATTTAAATGGTGTTATACAAATTAAATAATACTTTAATATTTAATATATAATATATTTTTATTAATATTATGTTCATAATGTCTTTTATATTTCTTAAATATATTATTTACATATTACCTTATAATGTTGATTTGATTGAAATCATATAAAATTTATTCAAATTTGAGTCTTATTTTTCGTGTAAAAGTTTTACTTGTATATTTGAATTTAGTTTGATAATGAACATGTTAAAACTTAAAATTTTAAAATTATCTTATTTCTAAGTTCTTTAGGAGTTAAAAAAGATATTTTATTTGACACCCTTTGAAAAGCTTGATCATCATCTAAAAATAAATTTTCAACTCTAAACTATTTTTTGAATAATTTAAGCATTTATTTTTATTCACTAAGAAATATGTCGGAAGTAAATACAATTTATTTATTTATATAATTTTTAAACGTTATTTAATACAATAACTACATTAATAGTAATATATTATATATAATTCTTCTATATAAAACTTAGATAATATATCAACAAACAATTAGTGCAATTAGAAAAGATATTAGATTTCTTAAATAAAGTCAAAAATTTAAATCGAGACGCTATGAATGAACCAAATTAAGTTAGATTTTCATCAGAGGCTTGGGGTTCCGAGCAAGAACTAAGTTACTTTTACGGCCGTGTTATATGATCAAGTTACAGTATATTTTGGTAAATGGAAACACAAGCTTGTATAGTCTCTATTATTAAATAAAAGCTTAATTAAGCAAAAACATAATTAAGTAAAGCAGATGGAACAAATGCAAAATCCAATAAAGTTTCTAATGCCAAAGAAATGAAGGGTGGAAGATTTAGAAAGCTACTTCCATGGAATAAATAATCAGTGACTGCTATCTCCCGACTTCTCTCATCATCTCAAAATGCACAGCAGCTTGGGTGTATACATCCCCTTGGGCCTGTAGACAAGCAGTTGCGAATATTCGACGTTAGCCAATTGAATTCAAAGGGGTTTATCAGATTGTAACTAATGGCATGGATTCTGAAGCTGTGTTTGAAGAACGAATCATGAAGAAAGCGAAAAGTTATGGCAATGCAATTTTAGTTTATGTATGTGCATGGACAGGGGCATGCATGTTTACGAGGGGAACTACGCGAGATAAGATTCAAAACTAAGTTGGTTCAAAGCGACTTTGACATTGATGCAGCAGGAAAGTTATGCAGAATTTTGGACTGAGGAGGGTCATTGGCAAGAAATGAGCTAACCTGTCAAGGAGAAAAGAATACTCGACTGCACCATGAAAAAACATTTGAATCCTGCTGTTCCGTTTTCACTTTCTGTAGGTATCGCTCCAAAGTATGTGCCTGCTCATTTATTGTATCATCGGATAATGTATCTTCAGCTAGTCTGACTGCAGCCATGTGAGAAAGTTGAAAGTTCTCTCCCACGTGTTGCACCTTTCGAGCAGTTTCTTCCTCGCCAAGCATTACAAGAGAAACCAACAACGACTTTAGTTCCTTCCTTGCTCCAGCTGTTAGGGACATGGCTTTCAAGTGTTCTACAAGAGCCATCTCCTCGCCCGGGCTACAAAGTCAAGAAATGGTCTCAGCAAAATATATATAGATATAAGCAAGGAGATCCCGATACTTCAATAACCACATACCTGCCCGGACGAATTTTTCCTCTACTTCGCTGACGCCTAGTATCTCTTGCCCTGCTAGCTGCGGTTGAGGCAGTTGAAGCAGCAGAGCTTTTTCTTGTCCTGTTAATGCAGGAAGCAAACAGCACATTCAGAAATGGATGGAACTCAAAAACACAAAACATCACATGTTCTGCAACAAGCAATAAAAGCTACGTGTAAAACACAGAAGATACAGAACACGTACCCTCTGGTGTAGACACTCATTCCACTGAATGTACTACTAGCTTCTGAAGCAGTATCATCATCGAGGTCATTTATTGACCTTTCCTCTGACTGTAGCTTTGCTGCAAGAAGCAACCTTCTTTGCCGAACAGCTAAATAGCGAGTCAAATATTTCCCCACTTTCTCCAGCCCTTCCTTATATTCATCTATTAGGCTGCTTGCACATTCCAGTGCTGCATTTTTCACCAACAAGACTAAATCCTCTCCGCTATGCAAAAAGGCAACCCTCAACGCCTCCTCCCAATCCCTTGCACTGATTAGCAAATTAATTCCAGCATTAATATCTCCACAATATTCCAATGCAATCTTGGCAGCTTCTCCAGGTTTACCAAGGGCTTGGAGTTCCTCATAAAGCTCATGAGCCAGTTGCATTACTTCATTCTTTTCCAGCTTTAACAGCCCAGCAACTGTCAGCACACCACTCCAGTTACCACATTCACGATAAGCCTTCAAAGCCTTTTGCAAATTGGAGCAACACAAGTAAGTTGCAGCAGCATCTTCAAAGCATTTTTCATCACTGAGATGATCTCCCCAAGCGTCAAGGACCTGCCGTCTTCGAGTAGGATCAGTAATCAGCTGAAGTCCTAGAGGAAAAAGTTGAGGATTTTTCTTCATAAGGTTCATGCAATCAGAGAAATGGGCATCACCTGCAGATACAATATGTTTGAGAGCTTTCTCAAACCTGTGTAGCCTAAGGTCAATATTATAGCGCATCAAGAGAATAGGCATATGCTCCAATTCCTGGAGAAAGGGAAGAAATTCCTTAGGGTCTCGCTGTGAATTCAGTGCCACAATAGCTGCAAGGTTCAAATCATAAAGGCCCAAAGCAGCTTCAAAGACGGCCTCTGAATCTGATAACCACAGAAGATGTTTCAGAGCTTCTTCAGCAGAAGGGCAATTTACTTGTCTTGGGTCACCAGAACCTGATAACTCCATCTCCCGGATTATCTTTACCCTCTCTAAAGCCTCTTCAAGAGCAGGGGGTTCACTACGAGCTAGAGTGGTCAAAATACAGAGCTCCCTGGCAGGACTTTCAGATACTTGTTCCTCAAGAGCGCTCCTTACGGCCAGAAGCACTGACGATACCTTGTTATTCACATCTAAACTAGCACCAGAACCCTTGAACTCATTGGTTAATAGATCCTTTTGCTCCTTGCAGCATGGTGAAGAGAGAAATTTCTTGTAAAGTTTCTCCATCACATTTTCGTTTTTAATTGCACAAACAAAGTCAGTTATGTAACTCAAATTTTTTACTTGCTTGACAAACTCTGAAGCTAATTGATTGAACACCTGCAATCCACAATAATCAACAATCACATTGAAATCGATCCTGTGTCGCCTCACTATAAGAAGTGCATCCCTAAAGCGCCTTTGGTTCAAAGCATTGACAATTGAGGCTAGCACCAGTTTTCTCGGACAGATGCATTCCAGATTTCCTCGATTTGTTTGCAATATGACAGCAGCTTCATCTCCATGTAAAACCCCAATGATTTTGGCACCTCTTTCCCAAATATTTATGAAGTTAATATTCTCCTCTTCCTTTTGTTTGCTACCAGCATGGATAAAGTTTTCATATGTTAATTCTAATTCTCCATGCAATATATCACTGATGTCCACGATAAAGAGCAAATCCTGTTTTGTTGCAAGAATCAAATGTGTGATTACATTGTCAGCTAAATTAGAGTAAAATGAGAAACTGCTGCAGTTGCTGCATAGTATTTTCCTACCAACATGAAGCCTCCCCATATCATCAAGACCAAAAAGCAAAAGCTTTGATGGTTCAGTTGCACCAACTAGAACCACCTTCATCCAGGGGCAAGATGAAAAAAACCTTAACTCATCATGTTTAAAATCCCGTTTGTTAATTCCCAACTTAGATGTATATTCAAAAACTTCTCCACCATCAAACTGGACAAAAGCTGAACATTTTTTAGCAGGATTGGGAGTAATACCCATTACAAGTCCTTCCAACAAATTCTGATGTGAAACTTTTGCATGCCAGCCAGAGCAAGTCAGTAGACCTGGGACGCTATCCTCAGAACAAGCAAGCTCAATTTCCTGCAAATAGAAACCAAGAAGACTATCCTCATTTGAAGAGGTTTGGAAATAACAATTGATGTGATTGAATCCATGCTGAGAAACAGCAAGAAGCAGGTGTGAGTCCAGCCATGTAAGATGTACAAAGGAACCCACAGGCGTTTCAGATGCACACAGTTCCACACTAAATTCTTTGCCCTCCAGAGAATCCCAAGTGTCAGGCATAGGAAGCTCTGCAACACAGAGACAGCCATTTGATAAAAACGCAGCCAAGCGATTCTTACCAGCCATGGAATAAAAAACCATTTCTCGAACAGCACTTGGGAAATTAAGGCTAAATAAATGCATCGGAGGCGGCATTAAGAACAAAGAGAGGGGGGTCACAAGGATCTTAGAGCCATCTATAACTAAGGCTGTTGACTCATCCATGACAGCTGTTACCCAGATGAATTTGAAAACTGTGACCTGCCCATCAAGAGACCAACAAATTAATTGCTGTGACTTTGTTGGATCCCACATGAATCGAACTCCATCTTTCCTTGGGTATTTGATTTCATGCTTTAGATACCAATGGTTGTTGCTGAAAAGCCAGATCTTAAGAGAATCATAATTTCCAGATCTGACAACAGTCGCAAGAAGATCAGAACTGCAATTCCACTTCAGAAGTTCTACACTTGCATCAACTGGTTCACCAGTGTTAAATGAGTTTCTCTCTAATCCGTTCCTTTCATAGAAAACTATTGATGGACCCTCATTCTGTGCCTTCCTGTCACAAACGGTAGCAATTTTCGCTCCACTAGGCATCCACTCCAGAATAGACCCCATTAATTCCTTTGGCTCTGAGGAAGTATGTACTGTTCCAGCATCCCGCTCCCAGACCTTAAGCCTCTTATTTGAAGAAGATGAATTCAACACCTCGCTTAGAGTGGCAAAGTACTTCCCATCACCTCTCCAAGAGATGGGACTTCCAAACATTTCTCTGGATGAAAATCCGGGTTCACCTTAAACCAGGTTACACTCAATAAAAAACCAATACAAAAGCCAACAAAAGCAAAATATATGATAGAAAAAAAAACATTATTCTACATTTCCGACATAAGTATGAAGCGCACAAATACATGGAAATTCATTAGAGTCAGAAGTAAAAGGTCAAAAGAGATCACAGAAGAATGGAGGAAAATCCTTACACACGTCAACTCCATCAGGGTGGTCCTCCAATGCAGTCTCATACAACAAATCCCAATCATGAGTCATAACCAGTAATTGTCTGAAACCCGTGGTTACGCCAAGCAAGTCTCCATCCGGACTAGGTGAAATGCACTTGACTCCACCGTCGACCCGACCAACGACTTCTGTTTCCTTTCCATCCACGGAGTGCAGTAGCAAAAGCCCACAAGAAGTACCCACTATCAGTGCTTCTTTCTCCATAAGATAATCAAATGAGGTAATAACATCCTCAGGCTCCAAATCCAATGGATCGATTTCAGCTTGTAACGGAGCTTTTGACCACCCCCGTTCATTCTGAGAGATTCATCAACTCATGTCAACAAGTATACATGGTAATAGAAAAAAAAACTCGATTAAAAAACCCAAATCTCAAAGAACAAGTGTATAAGCTACATAACTAAGTGATGATTTTCTCCTAAAAATTCATTAGTCGTTTTGCTCCTTCCTAAACATTTTAGCAGAGTTCGTCTCACCTTAGAATTATAACAAATTCCCCATTTCACTAGATAAAAAAATGTGTTATTTCCTTCGCTAAAAAGAAAAAGAGAATGAAAAAGAACTTATAATAGTAAAAACTAAACCATCATCTTTCGAGATAAAAGTCAAGTCATAAAGTTCGATTCAGCTAACCATAAAACATTTATCGATTTAAAAAGAAATACCCATGATTTATTTGCACAATATTAAGTAATTAAAAAGAAGAAGAGAAAAGAAGAGCATACTTGGAGAGAAGAAAGATGGAGTGTGTAAATAAGATTATAGGAAGAAGCAAAGAAGAAGCGATTTCTCTCGATATCATATGCAGAGAACAGTAATACTTCGCCTTCTGATTGTAACTGAAGGTTCGATGTTATCTCCGAATAAAGCTTCAGGTTTTTCATCTTCTTTTCCTTATTTTCAAGAGCTGGAAAACCCTAGCAAAAATTGAAGCCAGTTAAAGTGGAATTAAGGGTTTTGATTTGAGGGTTTTAGTTTTGCGGTGATGAAAAGAAAGCCAAACCTAGTTAGAAAAATGTATAATTATGATTTTAGTCCTTTCACCATGTTGACATTTTAAAACGTATCCTCCTACTTTATTTTGACATAATTTAATCCTTTATAGTAAAATTAGTAATCTGTTTTTATTATATTGTATAATGAAAGTCTAAAGAGATGAAATCATATCAAATAAATTGAAAGATTAAATTCATCAAAATTATTTTTTTATGAATCCGAAGAGAATATAAGATAATATATGTCCAAACACTCTAAATCATATGATATTAAACGTTCATATTCTTATATACACAATACTCAAATCCGAGACATCAATTGATAACAACAAATATTTTAATCACTGAGATCGCTTAATTTGCACATCTATTAAAATCAATTTTAATATAATATATAAACTAAAATCATTATTATGAAAGAGCTTTAATAAGATATGCAATGTATGAATATTGTTTGGTGTATAATTATATATAGAAAAACCTTTAATCTTTGTTCAATTTTCACACACCAAAATCTTTATTCAAGATTTATCACTTAAAATTATTTGCACTAAAAATACCAAGGCTTTATTTATTAAATTAAACCAAAACCCCAAATTTAATTAATCCATGTTATTTATTAAATTAAACCAAAATCCCAAATTTAATTAATTCATATTAAATGTTACAATATTTAATACAAGAAACTCTTACGATCCATATTTTCCCATTCACAACACTAAAATTTAAACAATTAAATATCTAACACTTTATTTATTATATTAAATTAAAACCGCAAATTCAATTATTATATATATATATATATTTCTTGAATGATGTCACGATCTATGAGTTCTTGAATGACCGACAGTGGAGAATCGATGAACAAGATTTGAGAGATGTAGTAAGACCAGGAAACTTGGTTATACAATCGGCAACCATGCTACATTCACGGGGTGCCTAGGTAATATCAACGGCCCAACTTCAATCACGGAAATGTTGGATGGCACGAATAAGAGAAATTGAACTCGACTATGTTTCGGCTTCGAGAAGGAGCTTGATTACCTCAGAGCAATCGGATTGAAGATTACAATGCTCAAAATATAAGATATTCTCTCAACCCGAATTCCTCCATTCACAACACTAAGCTTTAAATCATTAACCATGCTTAAAGATCTAATACCTTAATGAATTCTCTATTCACAACACCAAAATTTAAACCATTAAGAATCTAACAACTTATCCCACTGATAATTAATATTGGTTTTATTTATTACATTAAATCAAAACCCCAAATCCAACTGATTCATATCAGATATTACTATAGTCAACACAATACACTCTCCTAATCCGAATTTTTCCATTCACAGTACCCAAGATGTAAACCATTAACAATATAACACCTTAGCAATTCAGATTTAAACCATCAACAATCAAACACCTTAGCAAGTCCTTCATTCACAACACACCACCAAGATTTAAATAATTGACCTTGCTTAAGGATCTAACACCTTATCCTAGTAAGCGAACTGATAATTAATTGATAATTGATTCAAATACAAATTTATTAAGAAAAATGAAAACACAAAATAACATAAAATGTACGTAGTTTGATTGAATCATTTTCGAAAAGGGAAACATAACAAGAAAGGTTTGATAAAAAGCTTTACACAATAATTCTAATAAATCAAACAATCAAAACGTGCATATGAAGCGAAATTATCATCAAACATTTTACAATAATAGAATTAGTCTAAGGCGAGATGACAATCAACGAGAGTAAAAAGCCAAATTCACATATTTACAAGGTCAGGTCATGCACGCTTTGGAGATGCCCCTTAAAAACAGACATCCAAGGAGATAAAACTCCCTATTAATGGAATCTGAGAGCATTAAAAGGTCCTACTTTGTAGAAAAATAAATGATCCTCTGTTTGTATTGCCATCGCGGCAAAGAGCATACCATCAGTTAAACATCGGAGGGTCTTTTTTTACTACTTAGTTAATAACCCACACGGAAAAAAGTTAAGTTATAAGAAAGGCCATGGGAAAATATAACTTTGTACAAAGAAAGAGTCTCCTTTAGTAGCCCATAAATTCTTCTGTGTTGTGTGAAGCTCAAGGATAACTGTTCCAAAATTGAAGAAATATTAGTGCAAGCAACAATTCATGTAACGATGATAGAACATTTTCGGGTTCTAAAAATATTAATCTTAAAATTTGATATGATAAATAGCTTTGTTTCAGATGTTCAGCGTTTTTAAACTGGATCTTCGAAAAAGTTGATAAACAATGTGCATAAAATTTAGCCTATGTTACCCAAAGTCGGAGGTGAGTCTTAGGTAGGTATTCTCTAGTTTTTGATGTTTTTCTATATATTAAGAGGGTCATACCCTATACACATATCCGGTTATGTGTCGTATATGGATGTCGGACAACAGATAGTAAATTTATGAATATGTGTGAACCGATGACTTAATACGAATAAGATAGGGAATACCTGAAAGTATGTTCAATCCCTTGACATACACAATCCAGAAGCAGAATCGAAAGGCGTATGAATTGACAGCTCCAATCACTCCGTTTTTCCGTTTTCTCCTGGCATTTCTGAAATTTAAGGTCTCAAGAAATAATCATATATTTCTATAAAGTTGCAAAACTCCATTTAGTTAATGTTCGAACAAGTAGACTGAAACAAAAAGTCTCACCTTCGTCTCTATTTGTACAGCAGATCTGGGAGCATATATATCAGCATGCAAAGAATTTACACCGTCATCCAGTCTCAAAGCTCACAATTTCTAATCTTCTTTTTACTTCTAGAAAGTAAGGGAGTTGAGCTTGGAATCTCGCACTCTTGGCCAAAATTCAATAACTTTGCAACTACTTTATGATTCCAAACTATCTTGTGCAGGCTCACTAAATCAAAGCATACATCAAGAACGGACTCAGAGAGTCGGGCCACTCGTCGCTAGGGTTAAAATTTCATTAAGGAAAGTCATGTTAACACTACAGTGCCTCCAGCCGGATGTATATTTAAATTCTGCAAAGAAAAATCATGATACACAACGAAGTTCAAAGCTCATTTGATAGCTGGAATATCCCGCGCATCTGAAGATATGGATTCTCAAGCAACTTTTCATTGTTACTCTGCAGATTTGACACAAAAAAAAAAAAACACTTCAGCAACAAATAAATTAAAAGTAGCAGCAACAAATGCCGTTATCCAGAGTTTCAGACTAAAAACGCCATCAATATTCATTCCAATATTTTTTCATCAGTTGTTCTCATGTATCTGTGTTTCATAATTGCAATTAAGTGGGTTCATACTTAACATTGATGAATCACTTACCTGTTGAGCTTTATAAACAAGCTTTTGTAGCATGTGTTGGTACTTTTCTGGTTTCCCGGTCATCATTCTCTGCAAAGTTCCCATACTTGAATGGCTTAGTGGAAAGGCATAACCACAAAAGGAAGGACTAAGGAGGGAAATAAAAGGGAATATATAGCAAATAAAATAAAACAAGTGGGAGAGGCGAGAGGGAGAAAGAAAATCGCAAGATAGATTTTTTTACCTTCAATAGGAAAACTGAAGAGTAATACGCCACCCTAGAATCAGTATCATCCAAAAGTTCCCTAAAAGGAAGGGTAAAAAGGAAAGTTAATATTTCGAAAAAGTCTGTGGTTAAGCTTTTATCAAAATCATTCTTGATAAGCAAATAAATTGAGATCACCTGAAAAAATTTTCTCCAAAAACTTCCTGAAAAGCTGTAGGATCAGCAGTACATTTACCAACTAGAAGCAAAAGAAGAGTAGCCCTAATGTCAGAAGTAGCACCAGGAAGTTTCCCTCTTCCTTTGCTTCCAACGGCAACACCTAGTGCGATGTTATCAGTTGCTGCACCTGCAAGTTGAATCAAAGGCCAATAAAACAGAGCAGCTGGAACGCGTGCAACTAATTGCATTGGTGCAATAGCTTGTCCTCGAAGTAGCAATGCAGCCATAGAAGCTGTCTCACAAATAGGACTACTAACACCATAGACTGATTTGCTATCAGTTTCTTCCATTACTTCATCCCAGCGACCGCTTGCTTGAGTTACAAACTCAGCATTACTAGTTTTTTTAATTCCTTCTGTGCAAGTGAAAACTTTACTCCGCTGTATTCCTTCGCCAAATTGCATTGCAGTTGAATGGGGAACTTTCAAGCAAAATTGAGAGAATAAAATATCGCACATCTGCTCAACAAAGAGAAAGGAATTGTGACACTTGTTCTAAAGTGCGAACTAGGAAACAGTGCACAAGAATTTCAAATGCAAAATGCAGAAGTTAATGATAAAATCCCCAAAATCTCAGATGTATACAATCTATTTTATGCTGTGCATCTTCTATTTGTTTGGAAATATGAATGGATAAATCCATCTGAGAGGAACCACCGAGCGTGAAATTCAATCACAATAAACATCTGAATCTATTTTGGCCATCTAAACTTCATTTTCTTCAAAAGTCAAATGGAAAGAGGTTTACTCAAGAATTACAGGTTACAGATGATAGACAAAAGACCACAGATCAAGAAGCAGGAGAATGTATATGATGAAAATGTAACATAGATCCTTGAATGATTCATAACAAAGTCAACAGAGGGGGAAAAAGGATACTTATGACTTGGTATACCTATAGAATTTTGAAATGGCTCTATAGTCCCTGACAGTATAAAGAGATCTAAATGACGGACTTTTGTCCTTCACGTCGCTCCAGTTGGTTAAAATATGAAAAGCCACTTACTATACCACAAAGATCACACTAGCTGGCCAACTGCTTGTAAGAACAGGTATCAAGCAAGGTGGTCAAATGAGGAACCTCGTAGGATCTAAGCACATCTAAAGAATATCCATACTGTATAAAGTAGAAAAACGTAGAGAAGAGATGATACAGAAAACCACCAAAACTTCCCATGTAACAAATC